AGGAAATTTCAAGACAGTGGATCACAACTATAAAAAAGGAACTCAGGAAACGGTCAATACGATGACAAAAAAAATCAGAAAAGGAGTAAGGACAAGAAAAGGGAAGAAAAAAAATAGACAAAGACCAAAACAAAAGCCATCAAACGGGACAGAAAATGGCTAGAATAGCTGGCTTCGACCAATTCTGAAGGCTTTGAATTTGGAAATGCAAAAATTTTTTGACAAACAATTTCTGGGCATGAGCAGTCATCTGGTCGCAGATGTGCAGCCGGTTTTGACAGAGAACATGGCAAAACAGTCTTATGTGATTTTCCAAAGAACCTATCGATCAACTGGTCAACTCGATAACACATAGAACACAAACAGGAATATTTAATCATATTTTCTCGAAAAATGACTTTACTTGTGAGGCAAAAAACTCGTTGCGGTGGCTCACCACTTGTTTGACGACGACAAGTGCAGAAGATTCGTGTTATATGTATGTTTACTCAACGAACACAGAAAGTCACTTGTTGACAGAATGTTCTACGAGATCGTATTCTGTCAATAACAACCTCATACAAAAAATTCTCTCAGAATTCTAAATTTACGAGGTAGCCCAATGTGGAACACCGAATACGATTTAGAAATCTAATCAAACACAAACAAAAAAGACAGTGCCCTGTAAAATGCCGATTTTTCAATTGAGGCAGTCGAAAATTCAAAATAATCTTAGGTCGACATGGAATAGAAGGTCAGCGATCGCTCGGGGTGCGTTGCGATGGCGCTGCTTGACAAAGCTGCGGGCTCCAACAGGGAGAAAGTGGATATTGTGGGGTTACGGTTGTGAGGGCCACGAATTGAGTCCATGTGCTCCAATGAAATTCGAATTGAAGTTTCTTAAAGGAGTCAATGTAGGCATTTTTCGCGGCTTAGTGAAACTGTGACCGTATCCCCAGAAAGTGCGTGCCTTCAAGTGAGAGAAATCAGACGGCTGCTCGCTTTACGGTGAATCGCCTTCAGGAGCATTCTGCAATCTGCGTTATCACGCAGAAGTGCGTCAGAATGCAGATACGCCCGTGAAATAGCAGATTACTGTGTAGAAACGCACTAATCTGGGTAAAAACACAGGTAACGCAAATGTGCTCATTGAGTCCACCATCACGAAGAAGCGTGGTCTCAAACTTTCACTAAGTCAATGCATTCATCAAGCATTTTGGAGCGCCTTAGCCTTCAACGTCACCACAATTCTGTGGAATCCGTTGCAGGCCTTCACATAGGCGGCTAATCAACGAATCTTTGCATCGATGGTACGCCGAGACGCCGATTCGCTTGACGCTGTGCTGGGCCTCGATATATCCCACATTCAAGTCATCCTTCATGTTTTCGCAGTCGTTGTATCGTTTGCTTTTGGGTTTCGCTGCTCCTTATGTTGATATTCCGAGCTATTCTGGTCCTTGCAGTTTTTTAGAAAGTGGGAGGAGATACGTTGGTGTAATAGTGCACGTGAACTACGATAAAGCTAATTTTTCGAACATTAAAAAAATATTAGGAAATATTTTTCCTGTATTGCCGAGATGATCAATAAACATCATTATCGACGCAACGGTAGCGACATATGGCTTCAATCGCAGAGTCAGGTCATGACTATCATTACAATTATGCTTTGGAACTTGCTCATAGTTCATAATAAAGTAACTAGTTTCAGACGAACCTAGAAGTGATTGTTTAGAGAAGTAAAAAGAGGTGAACGAGGTGCGAAAATTGGCGTATCTAGAGGAAGATAATATTTACATTTAGGCGGAGTGTGTCGACAAGAGTTCGATGAAAGGGGTATTTGGATGAGCTGTCCAAATGAGTGTGCCGTTCCTCACAGCTGGCTACAGTGCGCTGCCTGTGTGCAACGTCTGGGTCCCGGTGCGAATGGTGCAGCTACCACAGCTTTTACAACGCTCAAAAAGCAGTCCGTTTTGGGTGTATACGTCGGCTAAGCCGGTTGTAGGGCTCTTATCACTCCCCTATCTTAGCCGCTTTTCGACACTCAGCGTCCCTTATGATATACCCGGGGATCACAGCCTCATCGTAGGGAGAAATATCAGAAACTAGTTGTAACGTGAGCTGTGCCATTAATCATAAAAAGCTTTATAGGAGCCTTCGATTTTTTTAAAAGACTTCATTGGAGCCTTTGATTTTTCTAGTTAGTTTTTTGATCCCTAAAACAGAACGATTTTGAATTTGTCGGTTCCGCTACTATGGAATTCCTTGTCGATCATGGAGAAAATCGATGAGGGTCGTGATATCAGAACTATGAATATGAAAGGATACTCATGGTCAGTGATCGC